TTTTGCAATAATAATGTGTGCATAACTAGTGCAGGTTAAAGAAAGTAATTAAAATATTTTTTTTTGTTCTGATTTACAGAATATATAATGTGTCTGGGATTTTAAGTTTTTTTTTGGTAGTTATAGGCCACAAAGCACAAGGAGTAAAATAAACTTTTAATCTGGAGCGATTTTAGAATTTGGTATGTTTGTCTTGTAAGCTTAATAGCCATAAAAGAAAACAAAATTGCCACACAAAAGTATATATTTATATAAAGTAGACATCACAGGCTATTGTCCTAGGGTTGTTTTGACACGTTCTACGTAGCCATTTCACCGCCAATCTCTGCTAAATATTGGAGTAAAATTTTGTTTTTTGGGGTTTTTGGCACACAAACTTATAACAAAGAAATTCTCATGTGTATTTTGTAAAGTTGGTGTGTGCTATTCCTGTACAAAGTTTTATTTTGTGTTCAGTTACTTCTGCTGAGTACAACGATACCCCCATTGTATGTCTTTCGCACTATTTCTTGAAGCTACAGTGCCATATAGGAGACCTGTCCGTTTCATCATTTAGAATTTTGAGAGGCGGATTTAATTGGCCTATGCTTCAATTTGGGATATTATAGCAGTTTGACTGTTCAAAAAACCCCCACAAAGGCCTACCATTTGTAAAAGTAGACACTCCAGGGTATCTCATATGGTGCATATTGTGCCTTAACATGCCCCCATTTTTTCACCAATATATGCCAAAGTATGTGGTAAAAAATAATTTGGGGCATTTTTTACATACGGATTACATTTTTGCTGGGCATTTTGTACATTTCATATGTCACTAAGTTCAAACCCCCCAAATTATGCTCAGCTAAGTCTTCTGAGTAAAACAATATACCTAATGTATAACCTAGACACTATTTTGTGAAGTTACACTGCTGTAAAAGAGACGTGACAAGTTAAGGTTTTTAAGTGTGAATTTTCATGGAGGGTTTTGATGCGTCCATGTCCCACTTTGGAGCACTTGAGCAGGCTACATATTACAACTACACCATAAAGGCATACCATTTCTTAAAGAACACATCCCAGGGTATTTCAAAAGGCATATTTTGAACATTAGCGTGGGATCATTTTTCCGCTAGCTTGTACCAAGTGTAGTGGTTAATATGCGTTTTTTTGCCTTTTTGACATACAAAGTGAGTTTGCACCAGGGCTCGAGTCCTGCAGGAACGCATGGGAACGGCGTTCCCGCACTTTTTCCAAAGCAGGAACGCCGTTCCCGTTACCTGTCCTGCAGGACCGGCCCTGCTACCTGCACTGAGGGGCCGTCACATGCTGTGTTCCCTCTCCAGCTATAACTCTCGCGAGACCCGCGGCTGTTACCATGGCAACGCTCCGCACAGGCGAGTCTCGCGAGAGTTAGAGCTGGAGAGGGAACACTGCGTGTCATGGCCCCTCTGTGCAGCGGCTGGCTCCCTCCAGCATACCACCGGACCACCAGGCGATCTCCCCCCTCCCTGACAAGGTAAGAAGCAGGGAGGGGGGGATAAAATAAAATAAATATACATAAAGTAAGAAAAATGCTCCCCCCCCACATCATCCAGCACTCACACACCCATCATCCAGCACACACACACCCATCATCCAGCACACACACCCATCATCCAGCACTCACACACCCATCATCCAGCACTCACACACACACCATCCAGCACTCACACACACATCATCCAGCACACACACACACATCATCCAGCACACACCCATCATCCAGCACACACACACACCCATCATCCAGCACTCACACACCCATCATCCAGCACACACACACACCCATCATCCAGCACTCACACACCCATCATCCAGAGCACTCCACACACCCATCATCCAGCACACACACACCCACCATCCAGCACCCACCAACCAGCACACACACACCATCATCCAGCACACACACACACCATCCAGCACACACACACACCCATCATCCAGCACTCACTCACACACCCATCATCCAGCACACACACACCCATCATCCAGCACACACCCATCATCCAGCACTTACTCACACACCCATCATCCAGCACACACACACCCATCATCCAGCACACACACACACACACACCTATCATCCAGCACTCACACACCCATCATCCAGTACTCCCACACCCATCATCCAGCACTCACACACACACACCCATCATCCAGCACTCACACACACCCATCATCCAGCACACACACACCCATCATCCAGCACCCACACACCCATCAGTCCAGCACACACACACCCACTCATCCAGCACACACACACACACATCATCCAGCACACACACACCCATCATCCAGCACCACACACCCATCATCCAGCACCCACACCCATCATCCAGCACACACACACCCATCACCCAGCACACACACACACCCATCATCCAGCACACACACACCCATCATCCAGCACACACACCCATCATCCAGCACTCACACCCATCATTCAGCACTCACACAAACACCCATCATCCAGCACTCACACAAACACCCATCATCCAGCACTCACACACACATCATCCAGCACACACACACACACATCATCTAGCACACCCATCATCCAGCACTCACACACCCATCATCCAGCACACACACACACACACACATCATCTAGCACACCCATCATCCAGCACACACACACACACACACATCTAGCACACCCATCATCCAGCACTCACACACACAGCATCCAGCACACACACACACAGCATCCAGCACACACACACACAGCATCCAGCACTCACACACACAGCATCCAGCACTCACACACACAGCATCCAGCACTCTCACACACATCATCTAGCACTCACACACACACATCATCCAGCACACACACACACGTCATCCAGCGCGCGCACACACATCATCCAGCACACGCACACACACATCATCCAGCACACGCACACACTGCATTCATTATACACATTCTTCACTCACTACAAACACACTACATTCACTATACACTCACTACAAACACACTACATTCCCTATACACCCTCTGCATTCACTATACACACTCTGCATTCATTATACACATTCTGCACTCACTACACACTACATTCACTATACACACTCTGCATTCACTACAAACACACTACATACACTGCATTCATTGTACACACTGCACTCACTACAAACACACTAAATTCATTATACACAATTTGCACTTACTACAAACACACTACATTCATTATACACACTCTGCATTCATTATACACACTCTGCACTCACTACAAAACACTACATTCACTATACACACTGCATTCACTATACACACTACATTTATTATACACACTGCACTCACTACAAATACACTACATTTATTATACACACTGCACTCACTACAAATACACTACATTCATTATGCACACTCTGCACTCACTAAAAACACACTGCATTCATTATACACACTCTGCACTCACTATACACACACTACATTCACTATACACACTCTGCATTCATTATACACACTCTGCACTCACTACAAAAACACTACATTCACTATACACACTGCATTCACTATACACACTACATTTATTATACACACTGCACTCACTACAAATACACTACATTCATTATGCACACTCTGCACTCACTAAAAACACACTGCATTCATTATACACACTCTGCACTCACTACAAATACACTACAATTATTATTCACACTGCACTCACTACATTTATTATTCATACTCTGCATTCACTTAAAACACACTACATTCATTATACACACCCTGCACCCGCACTATATGCATGGGTGTAATTTTTAATTTAATTTTTTTACCCAAGGGCAGAGATGTAAGGTGAGTTCCCACACGTTTTTCCCAAGGACTTGACCCCTGGTAGCAATACTAGTAGTATGCCAGGCAGGTAAGTACCTTTAGGTAGGATGCAATGCAGGTAAGTACAGGATAGTTGAAAATGATCCAATTTAGGAAGGTAAGAGGATTGTAGTCATTCAAGCAGGATGTCATACAGGTTAGTACAGCATCTGTCACAGGAGCCAGGATATGAAGTTCTTGGTATGAACCCTAACTTCAATGTCATGGCATCTTGCCTTGTTGGATGTGGCCATTTATAGCAGGACTTAACATAGGATACAGGTGAGTATGTTGTGACTAGTGGTTAGGGAGGCCACTAGAGGTGAAAACCAGAACTGCAAAAAATAAAAAAAAGTCTTAATTGTCATCATAAGAATGTGATAGGAAGGTAGAGCTGTAGTAGCCCATTTACTGTGGATACATACCATGGGCCAGGTGACTCTAAAGAGCATGTTTAACGAAAGCAGGCCAATTGAAACTAGTATGGAGACGGGTTTGGTGCTCAACCCATGAGTAAGTTGCTTTAAAGCAAATTTAAAACCTAAAAAACTTACTTGATTAAATAGAACATGAAAAACATTATTTTCTATATAAACATGTTTTCTACATTCTTTCTTTTTGCAACACGTCATCACACTTATCAAAGGAATTTAATCCAAAATTGTATTTTCTATATTACTGGTTGTTTTCATAAGTGCATTATGTTTGCATAGCATTCCAGCATAATTGAGCAATTAGTAATGTTAAATCCTATATTCTGATATTTTATGTATTTATTTATTTTTATCCCGATTCCATCTTGACTTATCAACCAGCAAAACAAACAATTAAAATAATAATTTTGGCAGCTTGTTTGCAATAATTACCCCTAAACTTCTTCATGCAAAATAGCTCACCTTCATTTTCCAGAACCATTTTCCCTATCCGGTATAAATTAAGGAGTCAGAAGTAATGAATAATTCAAATTTCCATACCATTCACCAGTGATGATTACGCAAGACTTTCGCTTATATTTCCCTATGCTGCTAATTCAAAGTATTTTTTATTTCTGCTCTTTCACTCTAGGTTTTCAAGATGAAAAATTCACTCGGCTGCTACCTACTCTTCTCGAATATTTGGGCAAGATCTGATGGTTTGTTCTTCTCGCCCTCAGAACGTCTCCAAAGGATGATGAAGGAGGATGAAGGGTGAGCCACTTGTAGACTGAAGAGAAATTAGGTTTCTCATTACTGAGAAGAGCCTGTTGAAAGGTGTCTCTCACTAAGTGCTCATTGCGTGTGGATCTGACAAGCGTGCAGAATTGAATATCAGCCTGTCACTTATTAAAGAGGTG